GTGGAAATGTGAACTTTCAAATACAAAATCTTGTGTTCTCATTTAATCTTTACTTTTGCGCCTTCCGCATACCGAACCATTTCAAATCTGCTGAACCAATATAATAGTGGATCTAAAAGTAAAAATAAATAAAAATTGCTGGACAAGTTTTTAAGATCCGCCACTACAATAAAACAGTACATAAGACCACCACTCCACCAGCAAACGAAGTAAAAGGCAATGCAACCAGTCAGCCGTACAAAGACATCATATCATAAACCCAAAACATAATCCACAAAAAAAATTATAAAATAGAATAAAAAGGACCTTCCAGCTTCATTGACCATCAATGCTTACCAAGCGTTCGATTCTTAAACTTGATTTTGATCTTATGGGACGGTGCACTCGGTGGATTCGGATTCGGATTCGCATTTGCATTCACCTCACCATCAACTCTGTTCACAACAGAATTCAGGGGCCCACTCGTCTGCTTATTTACACCGCCACCATTTTTGTCAACCACATCCGACCCACTTGGCTCATTCGGCACAACATCCACTTTACCCATCTCTCTCGATGGAGAAGCCGGCTCGGGTACGGTTGGCTTTGTTTCTTCTTGCCCAGCACCGGCCACTCCCCTCTCGCCACCTGGTAATTCAGCTACAGAGGGCACGGGTTTGTCCGCCAGCAGCTTCGCCAATTCCTTCTCCTTGCGCTTCTTTTCCTTCTTCAGCCGCTTCCTTTCAAGCCGCTCCGGGTCGTCATCGTGGCCATTCCTTTTCCGCTTCTTTTCCTTGTCCTTATTCTTCTTCTCCTTGTCCCTTTTCTCCTTTTTACCATCATCACCAGGCTTCGAGCCGCCTCCGGCATCATATGCACTCGTCTGTGGGCACGGATCGACTTTGCTCGAGTCCGCAGTGCATTGGAGTTCCCGCACGAGCTCTTCGCCATCGGCCGCTGGCTTAGCGCTGCCTATGCTGGCGGTAACTCTTGAACCAACATCCTGGCACGAGTTAACATCCTCTAAATTTTGGTTATTGTTGTTAATGTTAGTATTATGTGGAGCATCAACGGAGACTGAACTGCTAGCCCCGAGATCAGCCTCAAGGGGCCCACCACTCTGGGCGTTCACGGCTCTGGAGCTTTCGGGGCCCTCAGGGGGGCGAGCTGTTGGGACGGACTGTTTGACCCTTATTATTTTGAGCTTCGGCTTCTTTATTTCGCGGCTGTTGGATACGGAGTCAGGTTCGTTAGCTGGTTTCTCAGTGGCCAAACTTTTGGGGGCATGGTCGGAAAAGACTGGTCCGATTTCTTGATGAAGCGGTAATAGAGGGTCATCTGCTTTTGGGGGAGGATGGGGGTCTATGCTAGCATCTTGGAAGGAGTCTGTGATTTGGTTGACTAGCTGTCGATTCTCGGGGGGAATGCACAAATCGGGCGTGATATTTTGGATTTCTTCAGTAGAGTATATGACTGGGTTATTTTGTACAGGGGCCTCTTCAGGAGAAGCATGTGATGGTTGTTGAGCGTGCATAATTAGTGGCACGTCATCTGCTGGGTGTTGATCGGGCGGAACTACTGACATGTTTGGAGCAGAAATTGTCGTCACTGCATAAGTCAAATCATGATTTTCGAGATTAGCATTCATTTCCGAGTAATTTTCAGGAACCAAGAGGTTGTCAGGAAGATCGGGTGGACAAGAAGGCTCGGCTGGAGCCTTGGATTGGTTGATGAGAGCAGCAAAAATGTTTTTGAGTTCGCTGCACGTTTTCAAGTGCCCCATCCTCAAAGTCTCGTCTCTTGGGACCCCATAAAGAGTTGGAGACCTGTACGTGGGAGACTCGTTGAGTATGAAGTCAATAATAATAATAATAATAATAATAATAATAATAATAATAATAATAATAATAATAATAATAAGAAAAATTATACAATTAATAAGCAAGAACATACCTTCTAGCAAGAACTTGCAAGATGCAGAAAATGTAGTGCCGAAGGGTGACATTGTTAAACGCCAGTGGGCTCTCGAGCAAGCGCAAGAGAGTTACAAGAGTGTCGCTTATAACTTCACTGTCACAATCTGATCGATTAGACATCTGCAACAATCGCAAGGCACAGACACCCAATTTGGTTTGTCCTGGAAAAGAACATCAAATAGTCAGAAATAATAGCACACTAAAAGGCTTGAAATTAATCCTAAAGTAACGGGCATTAAGGCAAGCAATTCCTCCATTCCATTCCACGAATATGGTTTGATCGTTTTTATGAAGTTATTTAACTGCATAGCTATCAACAAATCCAGTAAAATAAAAATGTAATGATTGTTTAACTCAATGGCTGTATTAGCAAAATACTCTAAAACTTCACTTTCCTGACAACATTGATTGATGTTTTATTGAATGCGTGAGAAAATAAATCTTCATAATATTTTGATCAACCTCGTAGAGAGGCCTCCTCGTTAAGGTATCTGATGAATAATGTGAGTCCTGCATCAGTTCCTTTGCGCTGAAACTCGAGTTCAAGAAGAGCTCTGCTTGCAGCAACTCGGATTCGCCACGTCTTTGACGTTCGATATGGTTTGATAAGCACAATGACACGATCCTGGACAGGTATAAGCACATGCCACATCAGAAATGATAAGTTGGGCACGAGGAGAATTAGCAGGCATATAAACTTACGAGAGGAATGAACTCTGATAGTTTGAGTGCCATTTGTGTCAGTGACTGGATGCAACTGATTGTCAAAATTCCATTGTGGCTTGGCATTAACCTGTTGTTATTTACAATATTAGATATAAAGATTTCACGATAACAGATATTTTTTGGAAGCCAACCAGTCAATAATATAAAACCTAGACTGGTGGACAAACTGGTTATTTCATCAGTTCAGGGTTCAAACAGTTACATTGATTAAGCAAGCGGTCAACTGGTTCTAATATAAATATATTTCTTTATTGTATAATTAAAAAATTAATGTAACATATTAGGATACACTAAAAAGGATGAGATTGTATTTATTTCACTGTATTAGTCACTATAATTTTAATAACTATCATGTCGTGTGTGTTTTACAGACTGAAAAACAAATAAGAATTATCAACACATAAGATTCAACTTTACTCTAAATAAAATATTGTTACATATACTAAACATTATTTTTGATAATATTTTTTTATATAAAAAGGGAGAAAAAACAATTAAAATGATTTTTTTAATGAAAATTTTGTCTTCCTGGTTTCAACACTAATTGGTAGGCCTGGTCCAGTTTTTAATCATTGCAACCAGTAAATTAAGAGGTACCTGTCGAATTGCAAAAGACGATCAAGTCGTTTCAGAAGGGATGGTAAGTAGGTGATGCTCTGCCACAAGATCAAGCAGTGGAAGAATGTTAGGCTATGAAAATAGACATTGAACGGGCTTTTCGGATTGAGTTAAGTACAATTCAAGTTTATTAAGATAGAAACAATCAAGTCCACAATTGGATAAAAAAACCAGACGAGTTTCAATCTTCAAATATTCAGTGTTGGATAAGACAGATATAAGTACACAACTCATAGTTCATCGCAAGTCAATAGACAAAATGAATCTCTTTTAGCTGCTTTAGCATCGAATCATACAAGACAATGGTGTCAACATTGTCACAACTAATGTTTTTGAGTGTGATCTACTTGATTAATAATTGCGGTCATGCCAACTGATAAGAGAGTACACGGGTTTAACACATAATACCCAAACCAAACCCTCATAATATTAGTCCTTTTCAGTTAAATAATGAAAATCGACAATTAACTTAAGTATAAGTTGGTAACAACATGTTTAACCTGAAGCTAGCAGAACTTATGTGATGACATATCCAGGTTTTATGACCACATATTCATCTAACTTATGTGATGACATATCCAGGTTTTATGACCACATATTCATCTAATTTAATGCTAAGAAAAGTCCAAAAATAGGATATTATATGCATCCTCTTTAAAAGGCAATGAACGAATAGACTTGGAGTGAAATCAGTAACAAGTAACGTTATCACTAAGTTGTATCGAATACCTGCTGTCCAAATTCAAGTTCACCAACTGACTGGACCAATGCAGCTACCCAGAAAACATCCGAATATGCATTCCCACTGTTATCATTGTACTGCAAACATCATATCAAAAATTAAGAATCCAGATGCTACATCGTAGTAACCAGCACAAGAAAAAATATGCAGCGGTAAATTAATTTGGGGAACATAAATGGTCGCAATCCACAGTGCTTCCAGTAGAATGTAAATTTTCTGTTTTAAGTAATGAAGAGTTTAGAGCTAGTTTGTGATTAAATATCCACAAGTTCATAATCAATTTCGCACAGTTCAAGTCTTGCCGCACGAGGGGAACAGCTGTATATTTGGACATTGTGCCAATGTAAGAATAAACAGTGTTTGTAACCAAAATGAGTTCTAAGAGCGATCAACGAGTAAGACCAAATCATGGCTGCATTGTATTTCAGTATAGAGGAACTCTACGAACAAGTAATCTTTCACATTTTACAGCGGACTAGAATTAATGTTGTCTTCAATTAAAATTTGATTACCCGGCATTTAGAAAAGCCATACTTCAATTTCTCGATGAGCATTAGAGGAAAAATATATACCTTCAAGAGTTGTAATATAAATTCAACACCTTCTCTAGGGCTTTTCTTATCCGAAGATCTAACCATAGACACAGCATGTGGGATTGCCTGAATACAAAAAGGAAAAAGAAAAAATGATTATAGAAAAAAATCAGTAAGATTAGTAGAGGAGAAGTAACATTGGCATGACCACCAAACAAAATGTTCTCTACACTATTATAGCACCATGGATGAAACAATTCTGATATAAAACCTTATGAACTCAACAACGTAGATGTTCGAAGGAGCTTCATGTTAATTAAAAACTATAACTCTGTCATCTAAGACCAGGGAAATTTGTTTTTGCAGGTGGAATAATGTATAACAGGAAGCTGGTTCAATTTTGAAGGTTATGAAAAAGCAAGCAGTGAGACATGGACTAACCAGGTAATAGGCACAAGAAACGAGACAGAACAACAAGGAACAACATATTACACCATCAAGAGGAACATTTGAGGGTCAAACGACTTGGGAGAATCATCAATTACAGGTGAAGGAACTCCACTAAACCATCAAACTCAAAGGGGATAAAGATGTACTAATACACATTGTAGAAGAAAGAGATTGCTGAGTGGCAAAATAGTATTGCGGAATACAATTTACTTGCTTATGGAAATAAGAAAGCACATTGCGAGAAAAGAAATTTGTAACGGCCTTGTACACAAAAGGTCAACAAGAACAAAAAAATGCATATGTTATTGCATTCAAATATCACATCCTACCTCAATGCATTACCTCAAGTACAAAGTACTCCTGGAAATCATGAAAATCATTTGGCCTAATAAAGAAGGGGAGAATATGATTAACAAATTTAAAAGATGATTGTAAGTAGTTAAAGACCCTGATAAACTTAAAAATCTACCTGGGAAGACCAATGTTTGGGTCAAATCTCCGACTCTTATAGAAGTTGATCAGATGAAATAAGCCAGTCCAATCGGTGTCCTGATTGGACAATAGCAACATATAAATATGCACACCAATTAGCACTGTGACATAACCAAATGGTGACAGGGACAAGGAGAAATCGTCATATTTCAATATTAAACAAGACACGAGAGGAAAATGAGATGTTGGCTGTGTAACCTGATCTGCTATATAAAAGAAATTGAAACAGCATACATAACATATGAGCTTATGACATAGTGAAACATGTGACAAAAGAAACACACACCCAATCTCACTCCACAATAACCATTACCACGAAAAAGTGGAAGACAGCATGACCACGAATCATCTCAAACCATAATCATCCACTAACTTGGGAATAAACAATGAAATGTTTCCATTACTGAAAATTAAAGACATAAACAATCAACATGTCAGTACATATAATATGTACCTCGGACGTGGTAGTGGCCAGAGCATATGCAGCCTGAATACGGACTCTCCAGAAAGCCTAAATATAAAAGTACAGGATACACAATAATAGATACAAGACGAAACAATACATGCATGACAGCAAGTTGACGGTTGGAAAAGAACCTTGGAATCACTGAGAAAGTTAATCAGAGCATTAACAACAGAAAATGAATGCTGTGGCAGTGCTTCTAATACTGTTATGGCTTGCGCCTGAGCAACAACATCTTTGTCCCTCTCCAATTGATTGATCTACAAAGCATGTACAACAGCTTTGTGATTCCTTAGTTGATTTAAAATCATATAATGGAATCCCATAGCAGGTAGCTGACTACAAGAAGTTGACTTCTTCAATTTTATCACTTGTTAATAACAGTGTTACATAATCAACATTTTCTTTATTTATCAATTTAAGAAAATAAAAATGTGCTAACGTACTGGAGGCGGTTAGAAATCATTTTGTACACAACAGATACACTGTTCTAGGAATTATTTTTTTCTTCTTTTCTTTTGTCAACAAAAGCACAAAAAGAGGTGAAAAACTTTAAGATACTTACTTCAACATCCATTAATTGTTAAGATTATTAAATGAAGCCATTAATTAAATCGTTAATACGCCATGGATATCAAAACTGTTTGTTGTCAATAGATCTTTACCTAATTAAAATATCATACAAATCTATACCAGACTCTCACACAAAATGAAAAAAAAATCAAGCTCTTTTCTTCACTGTATAATGAACACTTCTTATCCGAGTCCCACACTCACCCACATTTGAACAGGTTGATTAAAATGTACTTCAGCAAGATATTCCATTTCAGGGTCCGCTCGGAGCCACAGTAGGGGAGATTCAGAGCTGCAACATCCTCCATATTAGCACTATATTTTTAGCACTAGGCAACAAACTTGGTAATAACAGAATTCAAGAAACAAGCAACAACAGTTTAGCTATAACAATACACATACTTTACTCGAACATCCGTTGTGACCACAGCATCACCGTTATCATCAGAGCCATCATTCTTCAAGCCCTTCTTTGGTTTTTGGAAGCGCTTTGCAGCAAGTTTGGAATGGCACTGAATTTCTAGAAGTTGCCATGGTTCACCAGCCATTGGTAGAATTGGATGATCATACATACCATCAAGCTCATGGACTCTTATACTCATCATTCCAGGCCAGCCAACACCACCTTCTGGGCTTTCAGAATCGGGATTGATATTATCAACACCGACCCAGGAATCAGGTCTAGACGTGCATCCCCGCAATGCAGCTAATTCTACCATATTTTTCCTTTTGTTATAGGAGAATCCCATCCTTAGTGGAACCAAGGGAAATTGAAAATGAAGGGTATCAGCAAGTTTACTCAACAGCCCAAAATAGAATCAAATAGCAAGTTTCCAGCAATTAATCATACTTCAAAACTGGACAGCCACAAGATCCAACCCAGCGAGGAAAAAACTCCTTTAGAAATGGGCGCTCGAGATTCCCAATTTTATTAGCAAAGTGTCGGAACTGCCAGCAAATAATTATAAACAATTGTGATCAATAATAATATCAATGTTGGACTAAGAGAATGGTCCAGAATATGACTAATATTGAGAAACAGTAAAGCTATTTCAAACTAAAAACAGTAAAACAGTATTGAAATATAGCTTGAAAGCACAACACTATTATTATTCCACTGGACATGCAACCCAGCACAAAAACAATGACACTTGTGACTTCTTCTGAATAGTTAGTGTAATTACTCTGAGACTTATAAATGGTGGATGGCGGGCCATCACGGAAAGCCAAAAACCGTATCTATGGCGGATGGCGTGGCAGACCCAAAAATATATAAAATATATCGATATACACAAATATACATAACACCTTAAAAAATGTAAAATAATTTTGTTTTCAGAATGACACTAGTTTCATAAGATAGAAAATATAATTATCCTTCAACATGTTCAACATAACCACTCACGTGAAGAGGAATAAATTAATCAAACACATAACAACCATTTAACAAACATTAAACCAAAAGCAATGATAAAAAAGCGAATCAAACTCAAATTGTAAAGGATGAAATTAAAACTAATTAGTCTAAGGAGTTCTCAGCTACACCTAGTGAGCAGTCATTATTGAGCCGCATAAATAATTTAATATAATCGATGGTTAATTCATTATTATCTCTAATGAATCTCATTTGTTGCATATAAGCAAATATTTCGGACGAAAAAAGCTGGTCTTTTCCTTTTTTCTCTTTAAGCTGCAACTGACAATTCATCCATCCATCCAGGCCGAAAAGGAATAGTAAGAGACAAAAGACAAGAGAAACAGAAAACAATATCACTTGCCCGATGTTGGGTTGCCTATGTTACGGTTCGCCGGAGAAAAGGTCGCCAGAGTGGTGTTCTATTTCTCAATTTCTCTCGTTGTTTGAGTCGCTGGAATACAACAACAACATAACTTTTTTGTCCCAAACAAGTTGACAAGTTGGGGTACGCTAGAGATGAAACTCAAGAAAACCAATGGTAAGAGAAACACAAAAAGGGCTCAAAACAAAAGGAAGAGATTGGAGCAAAAGAGAAAGGAGCAAAAGTCACGGTTCTGACACGTTGATTGTTAGCCTCCAAGCGCTCCTATCCACTGCTAAATCCTTGGAGATATTCCAATCTTTAAGCTCTCTCTTAACCGACCTCTACCTATCTTTACATCATCGACCCGCTGTAGAACTCCCCTACGCGCACTGGTGCATCAGGAGGCCTCTGTTGGACATGTCTGAATCATCTCAGTCGATGTTGAACCAATTTCTCCTCAATTGGAGTCACCCCGACCCTATCTCGAATATCATCATCCGAATTCTATCCCTTCTTGTGTGCCCGCAAAATCAACGCAACATACACATCTCTGCTACACTTAATTGTTGGACATGTTGCCTTTTTGTCGGCCAACATTCAGCACTGTATAGCATCGCCGGGCGAATCGTCGTCCTATGAAACTTACCTTTGTTGCACCCTCTTATCATAGAGAACGCTCGAAGCTTGACGTCATTTCAACCAATCAGCTGCAATTCTATGCCTAACATCTTTCATCAATGCCACCATCCTTTTGTAGCATCGATCCTAAATACTGAAAAGTCTCTTTCTTGGCCACCACTTGCCCGTCAAGGCTAACGTCACCATCATCATGTGTAGTCGTGCTGAAAGCGCACGTCATGTACTCAGTCTTCGTCCTGCTAAGTCTGAAACCTTTCGACTCTAACGTGTCCTTCCACAGCTCTAACTTCCTATTTACCCATGTCCTACTCTCGTCAACTAGCACCACATCATCCGCAAAGAGTATACACCAAGGGATATCACCTTGTATGTCCCTTGTAGCCTCAATGTTGACCTCTAGTGTAGTCCTATTTTAATTGGGAAGTCGCTGTTATCTCCCCCACGTGTTCGGACACACGTCATTGCATCCTTGTACATATCCTTGATGAGGGTAATGTACTTAGATGAGACTTTGTGATTTTTTAAGGCCCACCACATGACATTCCTCGGTACTCTGTCATAAGCCTTCTCAAGGTCGATAAAGACCATGTGCAAGTCCTTCTTTTGGTCCCCGTATCTCTACATTCCTCGGTACACTGGAATGTTAGGGTTTTTTTTTAATGAGAAACCTGACCCGCTTTTGTGTCTTTTATAACTATTCTATTATTGTGTAATAGATTTGCACTTTTATTGGAGATTTTGGGCCCGACCCAGTTGGGGTTTTCTCCTTAAATTGGCCAAAACCCACTATTTCCGCCGCAGCGCCACGGCTACCATGGTCATAGCGGGTGCCATGGCGCCGTCATTGGGAACACGCCAGAATGCTGACACTAAATAGCGGCAGGCTATTTCCCGCCATGGCCGCTATTTGACAACACTGCTCCGAACAGAAATAATTCTGAGGTACATGCACAAAAGATAGAGTAAACATGTCTGATGAGAACGAACCCCTGAAAGTATAGGCAATATCTTTAAAAAGCATCAAGGAGATTTGGCTCTCTTTCCATTCTTGTGTCAATCAATATATAGGGGATGAAACATGGAAAGCACTTGGCTATTGCATGAAGTAAATGCCATCAAAAGATAAACTTTTCATAAACTAACATGATTGCAAAAGAATCAACAAAATGGATGAAACTCAAGTAAGACAATCGGCTACTAAAGATGAAATCTACTGCGATTAAACAGTAAACATTATGTTCCCACAAACTAGCTCCGAGAATTGGTCATATATTTCTTTCTTATTACTTCATTACCACTAATCTGGATCAAATAATTTGAGTGAATAAGCATTTACAGTTCTGAACTTCTAACTTGTGATTTCATTTCAAAACCATATTTTTGCATATTCCACGTAAAAAATGGTAACCAAAACTAAAATGCTCTACAAGCTATTTATCTGTAATATTGTTGTAATTCAATATAGAAGAGCTCAATTAAAAGTGTATTCCACCATAAAGGTGTGACAATTGCTCAATTTATTGAACTACACAAATCAAATAAAAGACACTAAAATTCTTCACAAATCACTTGGTGATGCATTATAAGTTATATACAATGGAATAATTGTGTAACAACAAACTTCAATTAACATTTGTTATAACCACAATCTTCTCTCCCAGATGAGACAATTTACAATCAAGGAATGGATCAGCCATAATATACAAAAAGGAAAAGGCTACTGAGGTACCTCTTTGGTGCTTAGAGTTCTCAAGGAACGGTTTGGATCCCGAGCCCTCAGAACAATATTTTGTAGAATCTGAAGATGGAAGTTATCGATCATAAAAGCCATACATAATGAAGGGCATAGATGACGAATTAAAAAAAAAAAAAAAAAAAAAAAAA